AATAAACAAATTACAATCTAATAAAGGTAATATACTAACAAATAAGCAAAATTTACGACTCGGTGAGGCCCAAATTCAATTTTATGCTACTTGGATAGGTCTAAACCAATCAAATCGCTTTTGTAAATTTTAACGACTGTAAAAAATTATTCCAAACTCGCAGATAGGTGTATGTATGTGACCAAAATGATGGACCTAGAATCTTTTTAGTAACATCAAATTGCCTCAATGTCCACTGGAAACGTTATTGCAATTCAAATTTTGATGCATATATACAATCATACTCAAATTAGATGGACGGGTTATACCTAGGTTGTTTATGTGACTATAAGAATTCAAATTCAAGATCTATGAATTTAAGCTTTATTTTTTTTCAACCGTCAAAACTAATCAATGTGTGTAAATTATAGACTCATTAAATCAAATAAAATTTTGAAAACTGCGCAAACAAAATCCATCATGACCAAGATGATCATTTGTTATCCATCATGACATAGTATGAAAGATTGCGGTATATCTTTGTGATGCTTAAATGTCAAGAAAAAATTAGTTGGATTTATCACTTTAAAATGACCCACTAGGATTGAAGTGAGCCTATTTCTAAATAATAGTAACATGCTCATGCCGGCAATTTTTCGCTATGAATTAAACTTGAATATTTGCAAGCGTCTATGAAAGCAAGCATTAATAAAAATCAAAACTCGATCAAACACAACCGAATTAAGTCTAATGCTTCATTTAATACGATGGAAAAAAAAAATAAAAAGATAAAAAATTTGAAGGATCGAAAATTAGAGGGATAAATAAAACATCATGTTTGGTAAGGAAGAAAATTAGAAAAAAATGAAAAAGTGGATGGATTAATTTTCCTTCTAACTCACTAAAATCAATCCCTCCAAAATTAGAAAGAAAGTATGTAGAAAGTTAATTATGTGTGTTGAAATGTATGTTATTTGTTTATATATCTTTTGATATATACATATATTATATTTATCAATTACATATTATATATACATTAATTTCATATATATATTTATATTTTTTAAAAATAAATAAAAATTCTTTTTTCATCTTAATAAACACAAAAAAAAAAATTCATTATTCTTACTTTTCATTTCTCTTACCAAACATAGTAGAGGGAAATAAGGATTTCTTCATTGAAAAATAGAAAGTGTATCACTCTTATTTTCTATCTTTCTATTTTTTCATCCACTCTACTAAACGGACCATAGTATAATAAGCATAAAAAATTGAATAAACTCGAATAGTTTAAGACCCCTAATTATACAAATTAAACGATATGATGGATTAAGAGGAAAAAATATTTGGGCCGGCTAACCACTTCGATAGCACTTAATTATGAAAAAGTGTGCAGTTAAAAAAGATTTGTGGAGAAGTACCTTTTTTTTTCTGGAAGGACAAAAATACCCACATAGGTACACAAACAGGAGGAAGGATTATAATTGGAAAATGCCGGATTTCATGCAATAATCCCACAAAAAACTTGGCAACTGGTAAGACGCAAAAACCTCCCAAAAACGGATTTCAACATTTAAACAAAAATCTCCTAATAGTCATTCAGTTTTCAACCAAATCAGAGACAAGATTATGAAAGTGTTGAAGCAGTCACATGTGGTTTGAGTTTTTCGACATCGAAGTTCTCAGAAAATGGAGAAGACTTTTGTAGCAGACGCCTTTGTTTTGATTTTGCCGACGTGGGAGTAGCATTCATTCAAACCAATGATTATCAAACAACAACACCTGAATTTCTGTATCATTGTGTAGGTAAACAAATGTTGATATATTGATTTCTTATAAAATTGTATTTTTCAAGTTAATCAAATAGGTGCACCAGGGTTTTTAGAGTGGGGTTTTATGATTTTGACCTTGTTCCATTTGGAATCATTGATTGATAATGCATTTTATTGGAAAATGCCTTTTATTTTATGCATTTTTAACCTTACATGTTAATACATATTGCAGGATTGATTGCAGTATCCATGTTTACTACCTTATGAAACAATTGACAAAAGGAGAAGATATAGAAGAGAAATTTAGACAAGCACAGATAAAAGAATTCCGGGCTGAAATGGTGTCAACATTCTTGAATCGTTAGAAAAGTTGGACTGAAAAAGATTTCATATTACGACAATAATTAAAACAAAAATTCCAAGACAACTAAACTTAATTAGGGATCTGGAAATTTTAAAGAATCAATGTTACATCTCAGTAGTATTCTATGGTGGTAAATTTTTATACAATCAACTAATTGCAGTTGTCTGGTTGGGTTTTTGTAGTGGCGAGACATTACAGTGTTATATCACACTGTCATTCTGCATGCAGCAGTGTGACATTGTAGTGTAATGTCACAGTGTTATTATCAATACCATCATTCAGTACATTGACGTCTTCACGTGCATGGTTGTCCACATTAAGTTGTAACGCATCATCAAGGAGGTGAATCCTTACATCCACATGTAGTTGACAGTAAGTGAATGTCCCATGTCAAACATGTTTTTCAGATCTTCATTATTTTTAACAATACAATTTGGATGATCAAGAATTGAATATAAGAAACCAACAGCAACATTCCTCCTCTCATGTATCATACAGTCGTCCTACCACATAATCCAACAGTGAACACGTGGGGACACTAAGCATTGATGTCTCATTACCATATTTGCATACCAACAAAACCGTATCTTCCATCGAAAAAACCTGTCACAAATGCATTCAACATTTTGTATGAAAACAGATGTGTAATATTGCCCTAGTTAATATTGACATTATGCTGTAACATGGCACTATGACATTAAATTGTAATATGACACTGTGACGGTGACGAAGAATAGAAATGTTGATAGCAAAGATGACGATCGGATAGACATGTTGATAGAGTAAAGGAATATTAAATTTCAAATATTAAAGTCGAAAAATCTGAGCCAAGCCGTTCAGTTTTATTTGATTTGATTTATAACTTTTAATTTCAAATTTTACAATCCCTTACAATATGTAACCATTAAGATAATAAATCAAATCCCATAAAAAAATGGGATTGGCAAACTAACAGCCTTCCAATAAACAAAATAGTATTTTAGAGAAAAAAAATTTCAAAATTTGCCAATTAGTACCTACCTATAATACATTTTCAAGTCAAAGGTACTTATATACAAAATATTTTAGTCAATATATTTTCTCACAATTATGTAGTTTAAAAAGTACTTGCTCACAATTTTTCATTTATTCTTCCTAACATATTATACTAGTGTAATTGAATTTGAATCTTTATTCTTGTTTTTCGAATGATTTTTTTGACTTATAGAATGGAAATTCATTGTAATTCTAGTTGTTTGGTAATGCAAACCATGATAAAAACATAGCATAAGACTTTAAGTAGTGCTCATAGAGTAATGTTATGGTGATTTAAAAAATTGACCTAATTTTCTGATTTAATAATATAGCAGTGACATAGTCTAATTGTTTTGTTTGTGACTGTAACTGTTGGACTTCTTTATTGAGACTCTAACATTTAACACATCATTATATCAGTAAATTAAATTCGTTTTTAAGATCCTAATATCGTGCTAATAATGACAAGCTCAATTTTTTCCCCATTCACCAACGTCTCAATTGTCTTATTAGTTTGGTTTCTTTTGTTATTCTTCTGGAGATGACGATACGACTCCTTTAAATATTATTATAAATGATTCATACACAAATTTAATAAAACACAAGTCGTTAAACATGAATTAATAACGAATTGGGTATAAATAGAGTATTTTTGACATGAACATGCTAAGACCCGATTCGATTGACAGGCTTAGGTATAACCATTCAATCATGAATAGTCAATAGGGCAAGATGAATCCCATTATTTTATATGGGATAGGTATTTTCTTAGAGAATAGTTAGTTTCTTACACAAGGCGTTTATATAACATATGGTGACTTAATTATTAATAGGGTGGATATAGAAAGGATGAATAGTCAATGCAGCTCATGTGGTTCACCACTTAACTTCAAAACAAACATTAGACTAGCTTTGAAATTAAAATCCTAGGTTTGAGCCATCAACAAAACATTTTCATTCGATTGGATATCTTTAAAGAATAAGTTTTCATGACTCCAGACACCTTTCATTTACAAAGGCCTAAAGGGCTATGGCTATGGATTTTGATGAGTTTTCTACAAATCACCACCTTACTAAAACACTCGAGTGATTTGCAACTGGCCGATGGAATTGAGAGTGGTTTCACCTGTGTTATTTATTTATTTTTATATTGTCTCGAATATACGTAAGGCTTCCATGTGAGCATTACAAGGAATGAAAGGCCATATTGAGCAGTTGAGATTGATGAGAAATACCACTGATTTTATCTAAGAATATGGTGGTCTGATTTAAAATTTTCTTTTCTGCTATTGGCAACCAGCATAACATATAAAAAAAACCCCACAACTGAAACACTGGCTAAGAATCACATGACAAAATCAGGGATAAACCTGCAGCTAGAGAAGGTTTCCAATGCGTGTTGTACTGATGTTATGATTTGGGGTGCAGAGGATGGAAAATAAAAGAGCCAAACCTTGGCCTTTCCAGTTGAGGTATGTCTCTTGGGATGTCAAATGATTTAGGCCAATTTGAATTGTTGGTCCAGTTCCGCAGAGACAGATTGTCTGTTTTATTTTTCCCATTGTAATTGAATGGTTAGAATTTACATAAAAGTTAGTTCCACTTACTGCTGCTTTATCCAGAAAATATTAGTAACAAGTCTGGCAACCTGTATACTCCATCCAAGAAAAGACTTTTTAGTCGAGGATAGCATTACTCTTATTTAAGTATATCCACATCCATATGATTAGTCGTAGAATAAGGATGAGCTTAGCTTGCCTAGTATCTGGCATAATCTTACATCTTTTTCGTAGCATAATCTGATAGAATACAGCTCCAGAAAGACTGGATTATTGCTACCCCTTTATTACAAAGGATGAAGCCCTATCGATCTATAGCGAATTAATAATAAGTTCGAAGTCCTCAAAGCTTATAGATCCATCCCCATCCCCATCCATAGAAGCAATAATTGCTTGACAATCCTCTGGCGACAATTGAGCTGCCGTAGTCCCCACAACTTGGTAGAGCTCCTCTCCCGTCACAACCTCATCCCCTTCGAGATCCAAAGTTTCTAAAGCCCCTCTAAGACAAGTTGCTAGGCTCCCCAGTTCCAACTCCTTTGTGTTCATGTCCAAGAACTCTGAGATGCTCAGCAGTCCGTCCTTGTTAGTGTCTCCTTTCTGCATCATTGTCGTCACATCTTGTTCACTTGGATTGTACCCGAGCGATCCCATGATTCCACCAAGCTCTGCAGCAGTTATTGATCCATCATTGTCTGAGTCAAAAGCCCGAAAGGCCTCCATCAGCCTCAAGACATGGTTCAGTGTCTCCGTTTCGGCAGAGAGAGAACCAAGTTGAGCCATGGAATTTTGAAGTTATCTCAGCCTATCTTTGCATAGTAGCTCATCTTCTCAGCTAAATAGAGGAAAATAGAATCGCCTGTCATCATTCCATGGCTCCTTTTTGTTGATATAAAGTTAAAGAAAAGATAGATTCTTATGCTTAAAGGATTATTATTCTTATCCTGAATGGGATAAAGCAGATTATTCTGATTGTAACAGTCTGATGTTATGTTAGGTGCTCAATTTTGAGGAATTTGTCAAACAAAAAAAAAAATAGAATCAAAGAAGAAAACCTGTTTCAAGAAAATGGAAACCTCTAATGCCTCAATTCGAGAAGAACCTATCTCCAAAACTTTTATAAGAAAGTTCAATATAATATTCAACATATTGATTTCATTGATAGGAAGACCGTTAAATATAAAATAATAAAACTACCTTAATAACTAATTTGATTTATGGTTCCACTATCTTAATAACCACCTAGAAAATTTCTCACAAATTACTCTATCATTAACCCATTCACTAAAATAACTCTCTAATAACTATCTCAAATACTATATAAAAATATACTAGAAATGTGCACATAACATTCTATTCTCCTTTAAAAAAACTTTGTCCTCAAAGTTTGATTTATCATGAAATTGAGGAGACCAACCAACCAGCTTTCTTGAATCAAGCAGTGCTACATTATGCCCTTGAGTGCTCGGTCAAATTCATAGCTCTCTTGAAGGTTCAACTCCATCTTATTTTGCCACCAAAGGACTTCATAATCTGCATCTAAAGCAAAGCCTAAGGTGACACAAAATTCTAAGGCATGAACAATCCATTGATTGAGCTGCTGAACCAAAGTAAAGATGTTTTTTCAAGACACAAGAAGGTTGCTACTGATTCTGCAGCCATGAAGAGTGGAGAACTAAGAAAGGGAATGGTAAAGATGAAAAAGATTTGGAGGAGAAAAACCAAAAAGATAGACGAAGAGAAAGGAAAAGAGACGTTGCAAGAAAAGGAGGCGGCCAACCGACTTCTATATCCTTATAAAAATAAACTATGTCAATAATCTCACCACCAAACATGTGGACTGCAGCATCTAACTTCATGGTGCCCCAACTTTTATTTTCACTTGCTCCAATAGTGACAATAACTTTGCTTGATGCATCCTCAACGATTTTTGAATTTTTCTACTGATTGACAATATTGTCCAGAACTTGAATTCCCTTCTTGACGTATGTTTCTAAATCTGTTTATCCCTTCTAGCATCCATTGATTTTCTTCGATCGACCTCTCAAACGCCTTTTGAAAATCACCACGCATCAACTTTAAAATCTCTAATGATGTAGCCATTAAGAGGATCATGGGCTTTGAAACCAATTGTTCCGTGCACAATTTTGAGGAATTTATAAAACAAAGAAAAAATAAAATCGAGGAAGAAAACTCGCTTTGAGAGAGTGGAAACCTCCAATGGCTTAATTTGAGAAGAATATATCCAAAATTTTCACAAGAAGATTCAATATAATATTCAACATATTCATTTCATTAATAGAAAGACTTTTAAATACAAAATAATAAAAATACCTTAATAACTAACTTGACTCATGGCTCCGTTATCTTAGTAACCACCTAGAAAATCCCACAAATTATTTTACCACTAACCCACTTACTAAAATAACTCCTTAATAATTATCTCAAATACTACATAAAAATATATTAAAAATGTGCAAATAACATGTTATCATGTGCTTCATTGTAAAATTCAGTGATATTAGTACTGTGATACATGGGCAGTTCTCCTAATATGAGAGCCAATCTTGTTGGAGGAAGCCTAGGGTTTGACACTGTTTCTAAGCAACTTCGTGAAAATACAACTTCCATTCTAAGGCAAATCTCTACATCATCAGTGCAGTCAGTTTCAAAGTATTCCTAAAGAAACCTGCATGCATAATGTATTATTTTTCAGGCTGCTTAAAAGACTGCAGATTTCACCTTAGTTATTGATTTTCGGGTGTTGTCCTTCAAATATACATGTGTTTTTTGTTTAGATGTTTGAAGGAAAAAATAATCATCTTGAGGATTTCGAAAGTGGGAAGGGAGAATTTAATTATTTCTTTCTTTCTTTGCAGGAGGCTAAATGTGAAATCAATGTCGAAAGACGAGTCCAAGTAGAAGCTGAAACATTTGAAGCTGAAGCTGAGCTGTTGAAGTGTTAAAAAAAAAAAGAAGATAGAAGGTAAATTTAATAATGGTCCCTCACATGTGTTCTCTGTCATTTTGTTCCTCATTCTCTCGGTTGTCTCACCTTATTTCTTTCTCTTGATTATGTCAATTTTTGTAACCTTGGTCGATCGAAAATGGTGACCATACTTGAGCGTCACTTTGATCCTAGAATTTCGCAATTTATGAGACTTCGATCCCTGCAATTTATAAGACTTTAGTTCCTCAGTTTTTAAAGAATGCACATGAGTGTGGGGATGTGGTCACCTGATAACATCTGTTAGTCAATTTAGAATGTCTTTTTTTTTTTTTGTTATACTAGAGTGACACAATTTGAAAATGTAAGTACTAAAGTGACAAAAGGAAAAATGAGTAGCAAAGCCACAGAATATGCATACATGAAAGATAATTACTTTACTTTAAAAAGTATCTTGGATTTCCAATATAAAAGACTGACAAATTGCTAGAGTTTGGCTTAAAGTTTTCATTGAGCTTGACTGAAGCTCTGGGCTAATTTTACAAGTGATCCACACTACAGCATACAAAACAAAGTTGCTCATCGGGGCTCTTTAGGATCGGCTCAATACAAGGTAACAGCTAAGATGAACCCCATTTCTGCAGATTTCGAGGAGGCTCCAAGCAGCCTCCTGAGTAAATCGATTTTGTCTGTGAGAAGAATAGCTCGGATGGAGACTATTTGGAGACTTTATTAGCTAAACAAGCTATAACATCTTTTAGTAGATTTTGTTATCAATTCTTTGTGTTTGCCAAATGCATTGTTTAGATTCCACAGCAACTTCAACGAACTAACATAGTTTGATTGACATTATCTGAACCGGTTTAACCCACGTGATGCTGCATATATATCCAAAGAACATATCATACATACATATATTCTTGCTTTCTTGTGTGACTCTCCTAACTAATTAAGGCTTGGACCTAATCACTTTTTATACCAAACCCAATCTGCAAGCATGCCAAAGACTGCTAAACCCAATCAGGGGTCTCGCACATAAGTCGCACAACAAAAGAACCTCCAACATACAAATGCACACTCTTCCATGTGAAATATTCATTTTCATTGTAGCTTTTTAGTAGTAATCGTGACCAACAATCAACAACTATTAGCTCATTGGTATGGTGAGAGCTTCAAGCCCGATTTCTGGTGGCGCACCCACCACACACGCACGGCCCGATGAATGGAACCTATTTATATATGGTGAGTTCCTTTTAAAATTGTAGTGGATGACCTATCATTATATGAGAGATAATTTAAATCCGGAGAAAAGGACAAGACTTAAGGAGGATCCAACAAGTTTATCTTATTACTAGAGAAAGGGGGAAGGGGGGAAAATCCATAAGATTCGATTTTATAATGTTAATTTTGAATCTGGCTAAATTCTTACCATATAGAAGATACTTCCATCACGTAGGTTATTCTGAAAGCTCATAATACCTACTAATTCCACCATTAATTCTAATACGATGCATGTGATTATGTCTCCCCTTGTAGTATCAGCTGTTTGGCTCTAAACATTAGGGCACAATTTTTCAGTGGCATGTGTAGTCAAGAACGGGCTTGCAAACAAATTCGTGAGCCGCACCATAAATTGTTTGGGCTGGGCTGGTTATTGGTGTACCCAACTTGTGCCGTAGTCAAGCCGGGCCTTGTCAGGTATCTGGTAGGGATGTGTGAGCCACAGCCTAGCCCATGCCAATAAGACTAGACATTTAAAGCACCAATAATTTTTTAGCAGTGCTATGTGTCCTAAATTTTTATTCTAAATTAAGGGAGACCATTAGATCAGTGGGTCTCATTTAAAAAAGTTGATAGGACTCACTCATCCAATGGTCTCCCTTCATTTGAGATGGAGATTTGGGTTGAAGATTTGGGATACATAGTATTTCCCATAATTTTTACCTTTACATCTAAAAGATCACTACCATAATAAATACTAATTAACTATTACTAATGTTTTATATTATACATTTGTAGTAGCGGAGAAAACACCCATGTCATTTTACAGACATGTACGGATTGTCTCAAAAATTTAAGCACACATGCATAGTTTCGATAAACATAATTAATGATAAGCATGAGTATTGGATTTTATCTTTAAACATATTATGTAATTCTCGTACAATTACCGGAGAGTATGTTTGTACGCACAATATACCAAATCACATGTATTTTTGTGTCTTTTCTTTTTCTTCCCTTTTTTTTTCATCTATTTTCAATCTCTCTTATTCTACATTAATATAACATCCCATCTCCCCTACCAATCTTCTATTGAGATTAAAAATAAATAAATAAATTATACAGTGGGATCTTGCTGCCCGCATAGAAATATCATTACAACAAAAGGTTCTTGACCTTTCACAGAAATTGTTTGGTTGAAAAAACGTTTTATATAGTTTAAATTGATGGTGTGTTTGGTAGGGTAGATGAAAAAAATGAAAGGTTAGAAAGTAAAAATAGTACACTTTTTATTTTTTAAGGAATGAATATTTTATTTTCTCCTTTGTGTGTGGTAGGAGGGAATGAAAAATAGGAATAATTGATTTTTTTTTTTTTTTGCATTTGGTAAAATGAAAAAATAAAAGGATAAAAAAAATATAAATACATGTTGTACAACTTTATCTATATAAAATTAATGAGTACATAATATGTAATAAATAAGACATATGCATATATTAATGGATATAAAAGTAAATAATATACAAGTCAATACACTTAATTAACTTTTTATTGATTTTTTCTCCAAAATAATATTGAGGGAATAAATTTTGGTGGGTAGGAAGGACGAGTAGTT